ACTTCCCATTTCGTAACTAAAATAAAAAATATCAAATGTAAATTTTTAAGTTTTAAAATAAATATTTAATTAAAAAGTTATACATAAAAAATCTTAAATAAAAAATATTAAATATAATTTATATCCAATCTGTTAAAAAAAAAAATGTCACCCCAGCGGTATCTTCATTACCTCGACCAGAGAAATGGATTGAGCCCGGAGGTTGAGGCGTTGACCTTACTCAAAAGGCCAACAACTTTTCCTTTTTCACACTTTGCCCCACCCAATTAATTACCTACCGTTTGCACGTTAAATTGTATCTATTTAACCCAGTGATTAATTACAATCAACCTGATCCCCTGATTGCAGCGCTATTAATTTTAATAGTCGCTCAATTATAGGCTTAATCACATAATTGTTTTATGTCTATACATATATACTTTAACTCTATGTGGTTGGTATTTTTGAGTTTGGTGTTTAAACTTAAGAAAAAATATATTTTTTTATAAATAGTTAAAAATAATTCTTCATTTTACTCATATCCTAACTGTTTGGGTCTAAACAAGCCTGTGGCATCGAGTTCAATAAAAATGACAGGAACAGAAAAACAACAATAATCTTCTTTGCATATCCCAATACTGAAGGTCATGAGTCGAGTTGATGCTTTCATGTCAAAGAAAAACACACCTATTTGCATAAAAAGTAGTGGTGATGTGCAACGATACTTTGAACTTCAAAAATAATACAAATTTGGCATGCACACGACTTTGTTTCTTTGTTTCTCGTCTCTTGATGCATGTACTAAATTTGATGCACGTGATCTTAGTTCCTAATACATCTTTGACATAGATAAAGGCTACCTTCTTAGAGGCTTTTACCTATTTTCTCTAACATACACTCATCCCCTCAAAATTCTCTACTCTCTTCAAGCAAATACATTGAATATCTATAAATGATCTTATTATATACAATATAATCTGTTGACCTAAATCCATCATTTTCTAGACATAAGACTCTTATTCTATTACTGGTATATGGTTTATTAAAAAAAAAAAAATCTTCCATTTTCTCACAAAACACACAGTCAATGTGACAAACCACATTGGAACTTTACAATTTTGTATAATTTGAGAACACACTAACTTGATTCCTAGGAAGCAAGCATCTTCCTCTTTTTACAGCAAAGACCTTCTTCTTATGCATGCCCTTATCCATTATGCAAATTTGAAGGGATTTTTTACCCTTTTTTTCTTCTAATGTGGAAATTAAGCCCATGATATTGA